AGCGACGATATATATATATATATATATATATATATATATATATATATATATGGCGGGAAATGCGATTTTTGAATGTTTGACCTTTGACCTTGTATTGTCGTATTTCGGTAACTACTGGTCACAGAGACTCACAATTGAGTGCAAATTGTTCAGGAGATTCATGTTTATATTCAAATAGTGACCGGAAATGGTACATTCCGACCTTTGACCTATTGTAGTGTCATTCCATGTCAAATCAACCAGATTTAAAAAACAAAATCCCTCCATGACCGTTTCAGATTTTGATGAAAATCCATAAATATTATCCACTGTATAAAAAACCAACAGATATTGACTCCTCAAAAAAGGGGCATGGTTCTTCAAGATGCACTTTTATTTTGCACTCAGTGATATAGATATCTATGTTAATTAAAAAACCTGAAATTTTGAGACTTGCCAATTCATTCGTTTTAAATTTCCTGTAGCGGTTGTTTGAGGTTAAGGGGTGTGGCCTCTCAACAAATGCATTACAACGTTACAATCATAGATTTTTTTTATTTTTTTGCACCGTCCGTCCTTGTGAATAGAAAAACCTGAAGTTTTGAGACTCAAATTACCTTTTCGTTTTCCCGTAGCGGCAATTTAACGTAAAGGGGGTGTTTCTCAAATTAACTTTGATTTTCATATGCTAGTATCGTCATACAACCTCTTTAATCTTTATTGGTGTAGGAAACCTTTTACTTCTGATTCTAAATCCTTAAAAACATGTTTTAACACATCATCAATAATAACACCCCACTTTTATATGAATATTTTGCTTTAAATTTCTAAATTATATCATAGACCTGTTAATTTTTCTATGAATTTCAAATTTATTGATCTAAAGTTATTTAATTCTAAATGGGCAACTTCAATCTGGCTAATAATAACCTCATCGAATTTGTATTGTGGGTGACGGCCCTTATTATATTAGTACGTCGACACAGCACTAATACATCACATACATAATTTCTTTGTGGCCAATATATGGTAAATTATTCTGGAAACTTTCTACTTCTATTTCATTAATATATTCATGTTCTATTTATGATATAAACTTCTCCTAGAATTCATATTATATTCATATTTATTTTGGGCCACGCCTTCTTAACTTCAAACTGCCGCTACAGAAAAATGAACGAATTGGCGAGTCTCAAAATTTAAGGTTTTCAGTTTACACTATCACTGAGTCAGTGTGCCAAAATTTTTTTTTTTTTAAATATGACCTATGACGTAATGCATTTGTTGAGTTGGCATGGAATGATGACCTCTTAATGAACTCTTAAGAACCTTTTGTGATTTAATTTTATGTTTAAATATGTGTAGTTTTCAACATAGTATCTAGCCATGAGCTAAGTACCAAAGCTAAAATTTGGTTTATAGGTAAATCTAATGTATCTGATTAACTGGGGTAAATTTAAGAAAAGATTTTAACTGTCCACATGACGATCCGTTGTTGAGAAACATTGGCATTTTTCACTTTTCTATAGATCTGGTCCTAACTTTGAATATATGCCATTCAATTTTAATTGATTTGATCAGCCTGCGCTTGCATGTGTCTAAAGACAACTACACATAGATAATATACCTGTAATATGAGGTGTATGTACCCACTCATATGGACGCAGGATGACCTTGAAAATCACTAAAAAAAAAAGTTGCATCGTTAAACAAAGTGGCTACTTTGAGTGCACATAAAATATAACTGTTAATCTAATGCCATATTCGTGAAATATATCAAAAAATAAGTTAGAATACCAAGTTTGACCTCGATAGCTATTGCCAATCTTGAGTTATAAGCTTTCAAAGTTGAAGTAAATTGTGTTTGCACATCTTGAAGAACCACGCCCCTTTTTTGAGAAGTTAATATCTCGGAAACTACATATTTGCTGCGAAGCAGCCAATTCATATTCTTGACAGCAATTTGACATCTGAAAGGTCATTGTTTGTCAAAAAATAAGGGCCTAAGACGACTGAAAAGCGGAGTTTCCTTCTTTCGTTCTGCCGGGTAAAATCAATTACTTTAGGCGACGTTTGTAGACTAAAGCCTGGTTTCCTGTCAACGTAAAGTTTAGAATTTCTTACGATTCTTACGACTGTTACGAGAAGTTGGACAAAAACAGCCGCGTCTTGATCGTGCTGGGCCGCAGACAAAATAAGCCGGTTACGATTCTTACGATAAGTTGAATTTTTCAAGCTCGAACGGCAAAGCCTCTTCTAACGTTGTCACATGCATGTTACGTCAAGTTGAATTTTTCTTTGCGACTGCGATATGTTAACATTTCTCACTTCCTGTCTGGTATCCTCATTAAAATTACCTGGCGAGATTCGAGGACAATTTTCACCGTTGGATTTAAACAATAGTCTAGTCCCGATTTGCTAACTTTCTCGTTATCAATTTTAGTGTTTCGTTCTCAAAATATCAATTTGGCCTATATTGTACTTTGTTTATTTCATTTCACCTTATTATATTATGTTTTGAACTGACAGATCTTATCTCCAGATATACAGTTATACAGAAAACATGATTTAAATGTTAAAATTCGGCTTGTATAATATAAACATGGATAAACTGGCAATAGGCCTATATATTTTATATTTTATTTATTTATTTAGGCCCTATATTATAATGTTTTATACATAATTTTTATATTATAGGCCTATAAGTTTTTTTGTATAATAAATGTAATTAATTAAATCTAATTGCGCTCCTCATTCTTAACCACCACACCCCCACCCCCCCCCCATCGGTCTTGTCAAGCCCCCTCCCCACCCATCAGCCAAAGGTCGTCGGGCAGTCGGACCAAAAAAAAAAAAATAAAATAAAAAATAGGCCTAGTTTTCCCATCCCAGCCAATCAAGAAGTCAAGCAATCCCTCCCATACCCCGGATCC